AAATGCAGCAGGTTGGATCTGCATATTAAGTGGCACTTCCTGACATGGAACGGGCTGAGACATGCTCGACACATTGCTTGTCCAATTACTGGCACTGGTTCAAATGTGCTTCGGTGAGAAGCATTCGACCTACTTCTGGACACAAAGCGCTACTGGCCTGAACTCAGAGGGGGGAGGCAGGAGTCCACGTGTGATAACAAGTGCTATTAGAGGTTGTTGTCTTTGGCCTAGAAATTAAATTTAGGCTTCCTCTGCTCACCTGATGGGCGATAATGAACTTTGAAGAACCTATGTCCTTTTGGGTACCACCCATCTGCTGGTTTGAATCGGACACCTCATAAAAGGAAGACAATTAAAAGAACTCACAGTGTCCTCCACTTCACATGGTCTTAGTGTTTAACATCACCAGGCACCCAAAGCACCAGCTGGAGAAGTTTTCTGTTGGTGACATGTTTACTAGGAGAATGTTTGCTTTCTTCTGTGACAATATAGGCCAAGTTGAAAGTTGCTTTTGAAGCAAACCGAAAAAAGCATCAAAGAGAATACAAATACCGAATTAGGAGTAAACTACAGAGCATTGCTGTTTTCTGGGATTCCCTCAAAGGCAGATGTCTACACAGAGACACAGAAAAATACATGCATTTTCATACCTTATTATTATTTATAATGAGGGGAAACTCTCCATCGACCATATGAGAAAGAGGGGGTGTGTTTGTTAAAGCCCATCAGTAACAGCTAACAAGTTTTCCATCCTCATCCCATCGATTACAGAATCCACTGATAAGCGCTACCAGGTCTCTGATTTAAATGTCACTCTATTGCGATTTTAATCACGGAGATTTAACTGTCATCACTCATCGTAATCTGCTGGCAGGCTTGTTTACGCTCCGTTGTTAACGCCTGTAATGACAAACTGTTTTCTCAAGTGTGCAGTGGGATTCAGGAGAGCTCAGGTAATTTAATCCTGGAAACATCTCGGGAGATGGGAGGGTGGAATTTGCCTGTAAACATATTTTGATTTTTTGAGGATATTTTGTATCACACTATGAAATTTGTGGTAAATAGACAGCACAGCAGAAAATCTACTGGAATTGGACTACATGTGTGTAAACCTGGACACCACTATGCAGTGCAGATAAGCCATAAAGCTGTGAATCTCAACATTGTGTCTTATCTCAGGCCGTTCTAAAAGCATGCTCTTATTGCTGATAGAGAGAAGTCTCATCTGGGGCTGAAACGATTCCTCAAGTGATTTGAGGATGGAGATTATTAAAATTCCTTGAGGAAAATTTATCTGCCTCAAAGCTTGGTTATGTTTTATTATTTAATGCACCGTGTTCCAGCCAAATTATTACTAGTGTTGCACAGCGCTCTCACTACCATTTGAGTTGTTGACGAAAGCTAAGGGTTAGCAGCATAACGTCCAGTTTTCAAGTTCGGCTGGGAAGATTTCACTGATTCATGATAATGTCAGGGTCTTAAAATGACTGACGTGAGTAGAGAAGCTTTTCTCCTCCTGGACCTGCTGGTTCAGAGCGAACGGAGGGAGAGCGCAGCGGACGTATTTATACAGGTGATTGGAAAGACTGAACACTGCAGGCGGCTGCACATTAGATAATTAATATAAGTGTAGCTTTACGGATGAACCGGAAAATTTATTTTATATCATCCCAGTCTCAACAAATGGGTGGCGGAGCTCATCATGGCGGCATGTGGCTTGTAGATGTTTCTGAGTGTGACGAACAAAGGTGTCAAATCCCCCCGCTAAGGTGGACACAAAAGCTACGAGTGTTTGGACAACGTGAGCATTAATCTGTTAAACTCACTGAAGATGAATACATAAACCAAAAGATGGACTATAGACATTTTTTACAAGCATATTTGTGAGCCTGCCTCTTTATTATTAAATTGAATATAATTTCAGATTTTTGTATAACTTTTCTTCAGGTTAACTTAGAAAGTCAGATATTATTGATACAGGTTAATTTTCTAAACTACAGAAAAGTCATTATCAGCTGAAATGACAAAAATTGGACTGACGTTGATATGTGATAGTGATACTGCTGTTATGTTAGATTTACCAATGTTTTATTTGATCTTTTTTTATCCTATTACGGTACTCGATTAATCTTAAGAATAATTGATAGATTACTTGATTACAACAGCTCTAGCCTCATCCGTCCCGCAGTGTTGGTGAGTTCTCATCATGTGAGCCTATAGTCAACATGCCTGTGTTATGGTCGAAACATACACCAAACTGTTTCTATGTTTCGACTTGCTTAAGTAAATTAAAAGCAAACTTCTCTCTTCCATTAACAAAAAATGTAATTAAAAATTAACAAAAATAATAATAATAATATATAGATAAAATATTTTTAAATAAAAAAAGATGCATGATTAAAAATAAATAAATAAAATGCTTCAAATATTGTATTTGTGTAAAGTAAATCTGACTTGATATTTACCCACTGCTGAACCAAAGCCAATACTTCTCCAGCATCAAGTCAGAATCATTTCATGAGGTTAAAAACACTGTGGCAGGACAAGAGAAACCTAAACAATCACAGTATAGAGGGAGAGCACAGTGGTATACTCCGTACAAGGACATAAAAGAACAGAAAGGGGCAGTGTGGCCATTGATTCTTATGTAAATAGGTTGTAAATAGTTACATTCATTTTTGTGCAAGAAGTATATCATTTTTGTAGTTATTTTGGTATTTTTATTCTTTATTCGTGTTAATGTATATTAAGTAACCAGATTTTCTCCACATTGTTCTATATTTATATAAATTGAGTCATATTGACTAATCTGTACTAATAACCTAGCTGGGTTTTTGCATACCATTAATGTTTACAAAGAGCCTGCAAATTGTATGCTGTATCCACACAGCCTTACTATAATTCAGTGCATACTAATGCTCTGTTAATGATCCACAGTATCATGCCAGACTCCCAATGCTGGATTTTTTAATGCTCTGTAGTGAAGTCTCTAACAAATCCTGACCTCTGCTACCTGCTGTTGCTGTACTGTCCTTAAGTTTGGGTATTTTGCATACAGACTTTGCAGTTTAATTTTCTCCAGCCAGCTTTAATCAGCCTTCAAAGCGAAGCACTAAGTTTGTAGAGTAACAGTGATTTTTTTTCTAGAAGATTTGCTCCCACGTGTTTAACTAGGAACACCAATGAGCCAAACTCTCAACAACTTATGTCAAAACAAAAGTTGTGGAAAACATGCCAACATTGGCATGAGTTCACCATGTTAGAGCAGAATATTAAGACTAATTTTGGGATAATACATCACTCACACCAAAGAACAGAGGAGATACTGCAGAAACATGAACAGAATTGGTAATTTCCTGAAACCCTCTAATGATGAAATATTGTGTTATTTTACTACTACCATATTTTCAAGCACAGGCATGACACTGATTTGACTAATTTCATCAAACAGAGGTGTGGGACTTGACATCGGTGTATAAATCTAAAGGGATGGAATCAAGGGATAAAGATGTTGACCCAATAGAAAGTATTCACCCCCTTGGATGTTTTATTCCTTTTATTGCTTTTAGAAATTAATCATAATCAACAATTTGGGCTTTTTTTGCAAAATAAAAGACAAAAAAAATCCTTCCATTTCTACTAAATGAGGACAATTACATAAATATTTAACCAAAAATAAGTGCCTGAATAAATATCATTCCTTTTTAAAGTGACTTACCATAATTAACACAGGTCGGCTGGAGATCACTTGAGTGTAGTGAGTGTTTGTGTCTGGAAGGTTCATTCACCCATAAGAACATTTATTATCCAGCAAGACAACAACCCGCAGCATCCAGCTGAAGCTACACAGAAATTGTTTCACGGCAATAAGGTGAATGTTTTGGAGTGGCCTAGTCAAAGCCTAGTCAAACTCAATTCAATATAGAATTTGTGGCAGAACTTTAACAAGACTGTTCAAAGAACATTTCCATGCAACCAGACGGAACCTGGACAGCTTTGCAAAGATCAATGGAGGAAAAATGAAAAGACCAAGAGTATATCTTCTAAATACTGACATGAAGGGGGTAAAAAAAAAAAGTAAAAATTTGTCAAAGAAACCAATTTTTTTGTTATCATTATTGATTCGTAAAAACAGTAAGAAGGGTAAAACAATCAAGGGGGTGAATACGTCCTGCAAGCACGTATTGCTTTATCTGCCAAACTACACGTGTAGATTAACCAGGGGTATAATGAAAACATAAAGTGAAATTTTATTTATTTATTTATTTATTTATTTATTACCTTTTTCCAACTTTGTCATCGATATATTCGGATATTTTGCTTGATTTCAGAATAACAAATGAAGAACTTGTTTCTTGATTGCAACCTCATAATGTTCATTTATACTGCGAAAAAATACACCCAAGAACTAAATATGCAGATATGAACCACTGTGTCAAGAGCAGTTCTCTCTTCTACTGGAAGAGAAGAGACTCTTCTGCTGCTTGGCCGAATGATCTGAATCTCAGAAAAGAGACGAAATTCCCATCATTTCCCATCACTCTACAGGAATAGAACACAGCATGTTTATCATCACTTGGAATAAAAATAAAATAAAATACATTTGCGTCAGAAAAATATCAATCATACATGTTTTCTAAAATGTAAAAAATTCTAAATCAGCTTTAGAGCTGTGTCGTTCCTGTTATTTTACTTACCGGGGAAAATGATGAAAGGTACCTTAACCTGGCTTCCCGCTACTTTTTACTCACTTTCTCCATCAGGTTATGAAAATATTAAAAAGGACTCCAGAAAAACCGTTTCCCAGAACACGACTCACTCCTTCAGTTCCTCTGTTTAATAAAGACACCTGGCAGCAAACCAGGTGCTTCTCCACCAAACACCTCCCAGTTCAAACCAGCGACATTTCCATGCTATTAAACCAGCAACTACAAAACCAGCAACTATTAAACCAACAACTCTCCCAACAAGGAGAATTTCAGGCAGTGCTAGAAACTCACCCTCAGGTGCAACTCATGCCGCAGCTCTTCTCTCCAAAGTTGATTTGCATCCAGCGCCGGAAGAAAGAGCTTGGAGGTGGAACCGGTGAAAACGTTGAGCCTCTTCGTTTCGCTGTTGGTCTCAACCGGAGCAGCTCCGTGTCTCCTCCTCCTCCTCTTCCTCCTCCCGCTCCTCCTCCTCCTTTTTCTCCTCCTCCTGCTTCTCTTCCTCCCTCTCCACCTTTCCTGGATGCGGCGACTCCTTTCGTTTCTCCTCCTCGTAACGCGCCGCCGCGAGTCTTGGTGGGAGAAGAAAAAAAAGTAATAGGGATCTCTTCCTCCTCCTTCATCAAAGACAGACTCAGAAGAAAAGCAGGGACCCTATCGCAGTCTATAGGTTTCACAAAACCCCATGGCAACGCAGTAACACAACTTCCCCGCGTTGTGACCGGGTTAAAGCTCCCCCACCTCTTTCTGTCCAGACCCCCCAAAAACTGTCTGACATTATTCCCAGGCTTCACAGAGAGCAGGTTGAAAAGGGTGGAGGCGGAGAGGAGGGAGGGGGACTAAACTCTGCTGGTGAGGATGTTGTTTAAACATGGAGAACAGTCAAAGCGTTTCAATTGACTTCATCACAAGCACTTTAATGTGTTTCCCTGCACAGAACTGAACGAATTTCCGAGCTTCAACCTGGAGAAACAGCAGCTCCTGTAACACCAATCTGTCCTCATGATGGCTTTTGATTATAGTGCTTTATAAAAGTATTTATACCCCTCAAATGTTTCTGCATTGTGTCTTTGAATGTATTTTGCAAACTTTTCATATGTTTGACCAAGACAAGATAAAAATAATAAATATACACTATCCTTCCAGGTAATACGTGACACTGACATGTACTGTTTGTTACATTGTTTAAGTACATTTTTATGTTTTTGGTTAAAAGCCATTGTTTTATCTTAAGTCTCTCTTAAGATATTCCCTGAAAAAACATTTTAATAATTTTTTTTTCTCCATTAATTTTTTAAAATGTGAGGATAAAATCTGTTTGGAAATTGGTAGCTATAGAAAAACAAACACACAAAAAATCTGACATTTTTCATCCTTTCAAAATGTTTCACATCTCAAAATCTGAAGAAACTGAAAATCAGAACTCGAACTGATCCCTGTTCAGATGTCAGTTCTATTACTCTAAAATAAGAACTGAAAAGTATGTGCATGTTTTGTTCTTTTAATTGTATGAAAAGCACCTTTGTTATGAAATTAAATCTCTAACAGAATGATAGAAAACCAGTGAGTGCTCCTGACAATGTCAGCTTGCTGTCTGAAAGTGATTTCATTCTGTTAACCATAAATGTCCTTTTGTTTTACTATGTAATGGGCAAGAAAAACTCATCAAATAGCTAATACCTTAGCACAAATTTGTATCATCTACCTCACCTCTGAAGTATCACTTTTTTGCAAATGACGGATTGCGGCACATTAACAGGTGCTCTAGTGCTGTCAACCTGGTGTATATCAAGGGGACTCCACTGCTTTGATCACACAACCAGTCCCAGTATTGCGCGCTAATGGTGTCTGTTGGGATCTGTGATTTCAGCACCTCTGACAGTTCGGGATCATTAGGAACTCTTTGCATCAGCGGAGCGAGCAGGAAAGGTCAGCAAGAAATCAATTTATCCAATAACCTCAGACTCAGATGCAGAGATGGGGCTGATCTCCAGTCTGGGAAATGCCAAGGTGGGAAGAGCTTCCTGGCTGGTGCCAGGAATGTTGAAGAGCTTGCTATCAGTCATATTTGAGTCATCGGGTCGTTGAGATATATAAATAAGACAGGAAGTCTCCTGATTTGAGTTTGGAAATGGAAAAAGCTTTCAACTGATAAAAGAATTGATTGTCAATGAATGCACAGTTTTCACCAATCTCAGGGGGGAGGCTTTATCCATCATCCTGTGGTTAAGTGCTAAGGCTAATTTTGTGCTAATTCACATAGGGTCAGAAGAGGCATGTGGATGCATACTCCATCAAAAATTGAAAATGAAACCTCTCTTCTTCAAGTTTCTTGTATTGGTCTATGCATATTGCATTAATTTTTATGGCAGAATTTACAATATGGCTTCCATCAGGGCTTTGAGATAGATTATAAAATTGAAACGTTACCTTAAGATATTTCATTGTTGTGTTGGAAAACTCATTGCTGTACAAGATTCAAGAATCTAATGCATAAGGAAGATGGTTAAGGTGTTCAATAACAGTCCAGAAACCAGGATTACAATGCTCATCACATGGAGCCCAGTTTTACATTTAGAGAAATGTTCAAGAAAGAAGCCACTGTTCCAAAGTTGGCACCTTACAGTTTAGCATAATTATCCATCTGTCAACCTGGACAAACCAGAAGCCTTCAGAAAAAGTAAAGGTGATGGTCAGACAAGACGTGAACTTGGATATTTGGCCATATTGAGAAGAAGTGTGTTTGGAAAAATCAAGATAAGTCAATGCTGGTGCATAACCTCAAGTGTATGATGTAATGACCAGTGATGGAGGTATTAGCACAGCCAGACTAATGTAGAAAGAACAAATGCAGGAGTTCCCTATGACCCAAACAACAAAAGCTTGACTTCAATGCAAAACTAGTAAGTCCATTTGATTTTTTCAAACCAAGTATTTGTTATTTTAAGTTAAGAAAGACAGCTTTGTTTAATTTTTTATTAAAACAGTTTTAAGTGAAACTTGAAATGTCAGCAGACACATTATTGACAAAACTATTAAGATTACACTTCCAATAAAGACACTGTATATTGAACTTGTAATCTAACTACCCCCTGGTCTGCATGTTTGCATGACCTCTTCTGCAGTCATCAAGTACTGCAGAAGTACTGCGAATCACCCACAGATTCAACCCAGGTGTATGGCAGAAACATGCAGGATTGGAATTGAGAAACACAGAACTAAGCAGTCAGATTGTTTTGTCAGGGTAACTGTGGCAAACCTAGTAATGATGAACACAGACTGTGTCCAAAGTCAGTGTCACTTAAAAAAAACGGGCAAACAATGTGCATTGCAAACAGGTCAAAGACCCCAAACACACATCAAAAGTGGTAATGCATGACACATGCTAACATTAGCTATGTTTCCATTTCAAATGTGTGCAAAACTTTGTCTTTCTTTTACTAATGTTACAACACAAAATTTTGCAATTTCATTAAATAAGAAATACAACTGAAATCGCAAGTGAATAGATTTGTTCATACATTAAGTCATTAAAAACATGCTGCGCCATCAAATTCCAACAACTTCCTTTTTTCTTCTTCTTCATATTTTGTGCCAGTGGTAAAATTTAGTTGTTGATTATGTGACTTGTGTGATGTGATAAAAGTGTTACCTTTGCAGCTTTGCGAAATAAACCAATTTTGATACAGTCAAAAAAATCATTTCATCCTAGCGCCAAAACTTTAATGAAAAATGAGTTTTTCAAAATCAGCATATTTCCTTTAAGTGAATTTGTTTTTCAAATGTTAAATTGCTCAATTATGTGATCAGTGGTAATGGATCCAATGTCTGAAATGAACGGGTCATGCTTCCTTGGCAGGAAACCATATTTAATATGTACTCAGAAGGTGTAAATCTGCAACAGGGCTAAGGTTAAACGCTAACTGGAAATGTCTCGTTCTTTTTTCCTCCCCTGGAATCGTCTTCATCTGGATGTTACCAAAAAGAGCCTTGAGAGCTCTCTGTTCCCAAAGAAAGGAAATGAACAGATTGAACTGAATCCGAATAACTTGATTTAGGTCGTCATAATTGTGCTGAGTGGATTACATAATGGTTAGACAGAGCAATGAATGGAATACGATACCTCTGTGAGGTGCACCTTGTTGCAACGAGTGCTCTTATCAAATCTAATTAGATTTGGTAGAACATCTGCTTCTTTTCGACCCCCTGTGAATCTGGCTCGGCTATAAGTGTTAAATGAGATACAGTGGCTTAAGGTCTTGTTTTCAGCTAACCTGTTGGAGGGCCGGTTAAAAGAGGTGTGCTTATATGTAAACTGATTAGGCTGGTTCCTATTTTCCTGCTGCCACTATGATATTCTGTCTTTGTTTGCACATAAATGCTTAAAGCGGCATTTAAAAGTACATGTCACAGGGTATGATTTGAAAACATTGAACAAAATTTAAATGAAAATGTAGCAGTTGAAAGGCAAACCTAACAATACCTCAAGGCAAGCAATTCAGACTGTTTATGGAGTATTTCTGACAATTTCTATTGAGTTTGTTTAAGTTCTGTAATTACTTGTGTATTTACAAGTGTACCCTTTCCATTGCTCCTGTTTCATTATTAAAGCCCTTAGTCTGAATGACTTGGTTCTCAGTTAATTTCTCACAACAGTGTGGCATCATCTAAAAAAGATGGATGCTTTCATAGATTTGTTTGTGGAAATAATTTTCAAATAATTTTCAATCTGTGGAGAATAACCATCAGTTTTAGGCTCAGCTAATTTAATTTATCAGAAAGTAATCATTCTCGTTCAAATTGATCAGTCTCTTACAATTGCAAAAGCAACTAATGAATTAGTTTAAGGAGTCATCTTATCATAAGCAAGCAATTAATGACAAGATCACAAATCAAGAAACAGAATCAGTCAGGATAAAATAACCAACAACCCAATCCTATTATTTAGGCATTCAACAACAATTAGAGGAAATATGGACCCTTTGAGTTGGTCAGTCATTTCTAAAAACGTTTTCCACCAATCTATGTGTTCTACAGTTGTGGATAATGGTTTTAATGTGTTTCACAGGAATTCCAAAGTTCTAGAAATGGGTTCGTAACCCTTTCCAGATTGACAGGTGTCAGTGACTTCCTCTGTCACCTGTTCTTGAATGTCTTTAAATTAGGTGTGTTCTTTCTGAAGATCAATTAGTCAGCTCCATGTTGTCAGACAGGTTTACTTAAGGTTCATTTAAGTGATGTATTAATCCTACATGCCGGACCTGGGAGTATTTAGAGACTGTGAAATCACAGTTAATTTATGATTGAACAAGATCATGAATTATTCTTCACAAAGGTCTTAGTTGTTTTGGATCATTTTCTTCCCTAAATCATTAAAAGCTTAAGGGAAAAAAACCTTTTCTTCCCCTTTCTAATGTTGATAAAATAAAATATTTTGACAATGAATCAGTTATTAGCTGCAATTTAAATTCCTCATTACCATTGCAGTGTTCCTGTTTGAGGGAGAAGAAAATGGCAATGTACAAGAGGAAATTTGTGTACGTATCAGTCACATCACTTCTATTGCACTAATTTGTTATTGTGCACAGCCAATCCAAGTGCTCTCTGTCACTCAGTGACCCTGAAAAATGTCAACAGAGTTGGAGAGTGCCAACGGTACGCCACACACTGACAAGACACAGGCTCTCCACAACGCTCTGGTCATTACCGTCAGCAGATTCTTGGCT